AAGAGTTTGACAGTGTCGGGGGTGGATCCAATGAGCCTTCCTCCCACACATTTAACCACTACTTTGCAATTGGGGTTTCCTGCTTTTTGTTACGCCACTACTAGTAGCCCTATCCCCTTATCTGATAATTCGATTCCCCTTATTCATTTGAGATCCACCACTGGGTGTCTTTCCCTGACAAACTTGCCAGAGCTTAAAAAAAAATCTTTGGTAAATCCATCACCTAAATGGGACTGAATAGATTTGAAAACTTCTTTCCTTGGGCCCCGGTTTTTTTCAAACTCTTGGATTCACCATTGCCTAAGTGCATACTGTCCTTCGATAAAAATTAGCATTTCTTGCCTCAGTCAATCAATAATTATAATTATAGTACCACACGGCATCCGTGCAAACAAGTGGAAAAACTATAATAATAATTATATAATTATATTATATAAAATTATTTGGAAATGAGGCAAAAGAAATACGGTAATCGACAATTGTATCTTTTCAATTTTTGGAATAAAGTAATATTTACAATACACAAAGAGAACGTCAATAGACCTACAAATATAACTCTCTTTCTCAGTATGATTTTATAAGTCTTCATGACAAATAATAGACTCATTCCTATCCATTATATTAGATTCAGGAAGAAGTGAGTTCAGTGCTTGGAGACAGGGTCCCGACGATGCAGGACGCTACTAACCTACCGTATACCAACGCCACCATTTACGAAACACTGCGCATGGCGTGCCCAGCGGGGCAGCTCGTTCCGCACGCAACGCAGAAGGATGTCAATTTTGAAGGTTATGATATCAGAAAGAGTACGGTCGTTTTTGGCAATATTTGGGGGCTGCATCATGATGAGCGCTACTGGGAGCATCCTGATAGGTTTAACCCAGACCGATTCTTAGACAGTGATGGGCAGCTGGACATCAACAAAGACTCGTACTTTCCGTTTGGTCTTGGTATGTTATATTGGCAATGATGAATATTCAAGTGTGGATGGAAACGGTGAAATATCACAATATTAGAATACGGGCCTAATAATTATAAACATCATCAATACCATCATCGTTCTCATCTTTTTCAACATCATCGTCTCCATCATCACCAGACTAATGACCACAATCGCATGCAGTGTGAATGTGTCCCTATTACGCAAAGTGTTGTGTCTAAATAAATTCTAATATTTTATATTTTAGCTGGCTTTATCTGGTTTTGTTTTATTTCAGGAAAAAGGCGATGTCCAGGTGAAGGATTTGCTAAGAAGGTGATGT